GCTCCTCCGCGGGACCCACCGCCACCGGCAGCCCCGCACGGCCGGCCCCAAGAGGACTTTGTAGCCTGTGCCTCCCGCCTGTCGGAACGCTGAGGCCACCTGCGAGCAGATGGAGCTGGACCACAGGACCACCGGCGGCCTCCACACCTACCCTGGGCCCCGCGGCGGGCCGGTGGCCAAGCCCAACGTGATCCTGCAGATCGGTAAGTGCCGAGCGGAGATGCTGGAGCACGTGCGGAGGACCCACCGGCACCTGCTGACGGAAGTGTCCAAGCAGGTGGAGCGGGAGCTGAAGGGGCTGCACAGGTCGGTGGGCAAGCTGGAGAACAACCTGGACGGCTACGTGCCCACCAGCGACTCGCAGCGCTGGAAGAGGTCCATCAAGGCCTGCCTGTGCCGCTGCCAGGAGACCATAGCTAACCTGGAGCGCTGGGTCAAGCGGGAGATGCACGTGTGGCGCGAGGTCTTCTACCGGCTGGAGAGGTGGGCTGACCGCCTGGAGTCCATGGGCGGCAAGTACCCGGTGGGCAGCGAGCCTGCCCGCCACACCGTCTCCGTGGGCGTCGGGGGTCCCGAGAGCTACGGCCAAGAGGCTGACACCTACGATTACACGGTCAGCCCCTACGCTGTCACCTCGCCGCCGGCCGCGGGCGCGCTGCCGGGGCAGGAGGCCGCGGAGGCCCAGCAGTACCCGCCCTGGGGTCCGGGAGAGGACGCGCAGCCCAGTCCTGGCGTGGACACGCAGATCTTTGAGGACCCGCGGGAGTTCCTCAGCCACCTGGAGGAGTACCTGCGGCAGGTGGGTGGCTCGGAGGAGTACTGGCTCTCACAGATCCAGAACCACATGAACGGGCCGGCCAAGAAGTGGTGGGAATACAAGCAGGGCTCGGTGAAGAACTGGGTGGAGTTCAAGAAGGAATTCCTGCAGTACAGCGAGGGCACGCTGTCCCGAGAGGCCATCCAGCGGGAGCTGGACCTGCCACAGAAGCAGGGCGAGCCGCTGGACCAGTTCCTGTGGCGCAAGCGGGACCTGTACCAGACGCTCCACGTGGACGCGGAGGAGGAGGAGATCATCCAGTACGTGGTGGGCACCCTGCAGCCCAAGCTCAAGCGGTTCCTGCGCCCACCGCTGCCCAAGACCCTGGAGCAGCTCATTCAGAAGGGCCTGGAAGTGCAGGATGGCCTGGAGCAGGCGACCGAGTCCTCCAGCCCCCACCTGCCCCCTGAGGAGGAGAGCGAGGCCCTCACACCAGCCCCCACCAGCGAGTCCGTAGCCAGTGACCGGACCCAGCCCGAATAGAGGGCACTGGATACCTCCACACCCCGGCCACTGTGGCCTTTGCCCACCAGGACTTTAGAGTCAGCTGACCCTGAAGGAGGAACCCTCACCCTTGCCCAGCTGGGCACCCACCTCAGCCTCCCAGCCTGACTCACGCAGACACATGTCATCCAGATGTGGGCAGCGTGCTCCAAACAGCAAAGGAGTCCCCCTTCCCTGCAGGGCCCTGCCCCTTACCCTCCCTCTGTCTGTCTTCCCTGGCCCTGGCTGGCCTGAGCTGGTGACGCCCCCTCCACACTCTCAGGCCATGACAGCTTCCTTATTCTGCTTAATGCCCAGGCCCTCTGGGCACCGAGAAACTAAGAGTCCAGGTGAAACAGGCCGGCAGGCACCAAGCTCAAGGGACACCCCAGAGCAGAAGCCCAGCTGGAAACAGTTCCCCGGTGGCCTGGGCTTCGGGGATGCCCCCTCTCCTGGCAGTCGCCGCGCAGCCGGCTGGCACCCCTGCCGCCACCCACAGCAGCTGGCCAGCCTCAGGCAGTGTGGCTCCCTCCTTCTAGAGGAGAGCCAGAGCCGAAAACGCAGCAGCAGCAGCAGCAGCAGCAGCAGCAGCGGCAGCAGCGGCAGCAGCAGCAGCAGCAGCGGCAGCAGCAGCAGCAGCAGCGGCAGCAACAGACCTGGTGTCCTGATGCCTCCTGGCCCCTCAGGTGAGCCCCTGCCCCATGGCATCACCACCAGGGGGCACCGTAGAGTTGCAAGGGCCCAGGGCCAAGCCCACTTTCCAGGAAAGCCCACCAGAGGCATCCCCAGCAAGGCAGCTGGCCAGCTGCGGTGGGGGTGGTGTGGTGGGGAGGCTGGGAAGGAGCAGAGACCCCAGGGTCAGGGCGAGGGAGCTGGGATGGGAGGCAGGGCTGGGGGAGTTTGCCGAGCCAGCTCTCACATGGACCGTGTTTTCTCTCTCGCCCCGGCACCAGTGATTCACGCCAGCCTGCAGAGGGACCGAGCCCTGCTCGATGACTCACTGTGGCAGGCGGAAGGTCCCACAGGGCCTGAGTCCTCAGACCCGGCTGAGGCAGCAGCCGGCCCTTGGAGCCAGGATAGTGACAACAGGTAATGCCACCTCACCCCTCCCACCTGAGACCCCGTCCCTCCTCTGTCCTCATCAGGGACCCTTGAACTCCTCCCCAGTGCTCTGGGCAAGCTGAGACGCAGCCCACTGAGACCCCATGGGACCCCGCCCTGGGAGTGCAGCCCCATGGTGGCTACCACACGTCCTACCTGTGGAGCTCCTCCCAGTGCTCACCCTTCCTGACTGTCTGGCATCTTCCTTTCAGGTCTCCAGGCTCCCCAGAGCCTTGCTGCTGTGCTGGGCACTGCCCACCTCCTCCCCCTGCAAGCTGCCAGCATGGGAGGAGAAGTCCGAGGCCAGCGAGAAGGTGGCCACAGAGAGGCGGGGCCCCAGCAGGGAGCCGGTGGTGAAGATGGGCCAGCGTGAGGGCCAGGGCCTGCCACTGTGCCTGCCCCGCTGGCCGCCCACCTGCCCGCCCCAGGGCCACTGTGGCTGGAGTTGAGGTCGGCTACCCCAGGCTTGGTCTCACTCCCGCTCCAGCCCAAGAATCCCTGCCTACTGCGCGGCCATCCTGTCCTGCCGGAGCTTTCCAAGAGTCTTGGGGCTGAGCTCACAGCCCCTGCCCCTACCAGGTGGCCCCAAGCCCAGCCCCAGGAGTTCCAGAAGCCTTTGCTCCTGGGGCTCATTCGGGCTCTCTTTTGCCCAGGCCTGGACCCCCACCTCCGCCGGCACCAAAACCTTGGTGCTGGCTGGCCACTAATGTCTGCAGCCCCAGCAGGCCTTGGTTGGGGGTCCCCCTTTCTGCCTGTCCCCTGGGGGTTCTCAGATTCGGGGGACTGATATCTGCAGGGAACTCTACCAGCCCCTCCATCCGTGCCCTGCCAGCCCTCCAGCCCCAGATTTTATTTTTGCGCATAAGCCATAACCCATACTCCCGGGCTGGCCCAGGCTGCAGGGAGGCCCCAGGGTCCACGAGAGGGCGTGGCCAAGCTTGCCCTTGTGCCCCCCACGGATCAAGCCTTGAGTGCCTGGCCAGGCTGTGTGTACCCCTGCCACCTCACCTGAAGACAGACCCTTTTTGTAAGATTTTTAATAAAACACTGAAACTTCTTGGCGTGTGAGTGCTGTTTCTCTGCCGGCCTGGGCTGGCTGGCGTGGGGCTATCCCCCACAATTTACCTAATTGGAGAGCTATTCATAATTATATCCTCATTTTCATGATCCAATATCACAGTCAAGGGAGGCCGCTCAGGGTGGCCGGCCCCTGAAACCTGAGGAGTGCAGACTGAAATGTCTCTGGGGGCCTGCAGTGCCTGGGAAGGGCCGTTGGTCACGCCGCGCCGAGGACGGCCCCTGCTGCTAGGGGTGAGCTGGGGCGCTGGAGCTCCTCTGCTGCCAGGACTCGGCCTGCACAGAGGCCTGCGGCCTAGGGGGCTTCTTAGGTTCTGGGGTCGTGGTGCTCTGGGCCAGGTCCCTGCTGGGGGGGCGCCCTGGCGAGTCCTGGAGGCAGATCGTGCACTTGCTCTCTCTGAGCCTCGGATTCCTCATCTGCAAAATGGCTGAAGCAGCACTAAGACAATCCACGCGTGGGCCCCCGACCTCCAAAATGAGGACCATCCGTGCTCAGTGAGGGGTTGCCCTCCCCTGCCTTCGTGGGGGATGTGAGGTCCCTGAGAGCGGGAGAGAGGGCCTGGAGGGGGCTCGGACCCCTATACCAGCTAGTGTTGAATGAGCAGCAGGCCCCGGGAGGCAGACAGTGAGAATGTGTTACAAGGAGCTGGCTCACTTGACTGTGGGGTGGCTGGGCCAGTCCGAGTCCGCTGGGCAGGCTGGAACTCTTGGGCAGGGCTGAGCTGCTGTCCGCTGGTGGGATTTTTTCTTCCTTGGTGAGGACTCAGCTCTGCTCTTCAGGCCTCTCAGCTGATCGAGCCAGGCCCACCCAGATCACCTCGGATGATCTTTACTTAAAGTCAGCTGATGCTGAGGGTCAGACACACCCACAGAAGACCTGCAGAGCAAAACCCAGACAGGGGTCTAAGGGAAAGCCTGGGGACAGCACCCTAGCCAGGCTGGCGTGGGAAAGGGCCCTCACCAGGCTGAGGTCATCGCAGGTGCCCACCACCTGACCCAGATCCTCTCCTCAGAAGGGGCTGCTCTGCTTGGCAGGTGGGGTGCCAGGCCGGGAGGCGCCAGTTCAGCCCTGCCCGGTGGGGCTGCCCCTGCTGAGAGTCACCCCTCAGCCCTCTGCCCCACCACCATTTGTGGTGGAGGAGGATGGAGCCCGCTGGGATGCAGAGAGGGGAACCTGCAGGGAAAGGAAACAGGCGGATGCAGAGAGAACCGCCTGCTGCCAGGAGAGCGTCACCCTCCACGCAGAGAGGGCGGCCTGAGTGTGACGCTCCCTGGTGGCGGGCCGCCTCCTCCCTGTTCTCCTTTATTTCTTTTAAATAATGGAAGTGCTGACAAGAACACGGAAGGAAGTTGACAGGAACAGGAGGCCGGGCGCCATGGTGATGCCGGAAAGGCAGCAGTTTCTCCGGGAGAACTACTACTCCTCACATGGAAAGCTGGAAGTTGGAGACACTTTTTCCTTCTAATAAAAATTCACTCTCTGTAATTGGGTGACTGTGAAAAAGGCAACCTGAACACTTCGAGCCGTTGCGAGAGGCAGCTCTGAGTCTTTGTGTCCCAAGAAAGAGGCCTGAGGGTGGAGTTGGGGCACATGGGGTTGGGGGCCAGACCCCCGCTGACGTCACGAATCCCACAGCCCAGGTCCCAGGACAGGACGCTCCCTGACGCGGGCCTCCCTCCACCCCTCCCTGTCCTGCCCGTCCAGATGCCACAGACCACCGGGTCTCATCTCCTCACTAAAGGGCAGGGAAGCTGAGGCAACAGAGGGGCTGGGACTGGGGGTGGGGGACTGCCAGAAAGCCCCGAGGGGCTCACCCTGCAGACCCCACTTGGTGGGGGGCTTCTGAGTCAGGTGGGCTGGGCTCAAGTCCCAGGGCCCCCTTTCTACAAAACCAAGTCTGCCTACAGAGCTGGTGTGAGGGTGTAAGAGTCTGGTGCCAGCCAAGCAGGTGCTCAGGATGTCACCCGCTGTTGCCTCCAAGGCTCAGCCAGGTCCTAGGGCTCTGGCTTTCATGGCCCATCAGGAAAGGTCTCATTGGGGGTCACCTGGTTGGCAGCCCAGGGGTGTAAGAGACTGTCTGCGCCCGGGGGTGGGGGTGGGGCAGAGTCAATCGCTCGCCCACTTGAGGGCTCAAGAGGCCCATCTCACTGGGGTGACAGTGACTCTGGGTCCAAGGTGTGATGTGCGCTCCAGGCCTGCCCCAGACATCAGCCCTGGGCTCCCCATGGCTCCCTCCCTTCTCTGCCTCAATGACCCACACCCAGCAGTCTAGGGCTCTGGTCCCAGAGACAGGAGATAGGAAGCAGGCGGCTGGGGGCACCTAACTCACAGGCAGGCAGGCCACTCCCCGTGGTGAGGCCCTAGGTGCCCCCAGGTGTGCCCAGCCCAGGGGGTTGGGACAGGTCTGGCTCAGGGATGCAGGGCCCTGCCCCTCCTGGGACATCTGCTGTTTTCCCTCCCCCAGGACACTGCCCTCCTCCAGGCCAAGCATTTCCCCCACTGCCAGCACTGAGGTGCAGCACCCAACTCTGCCTGCAGAGAGGAGGCACAGGGGAGCTGCCAGGGCTCTCCACGATGGAGCCCCCACTACAAGCCCCCCGCACTATGGGCCCCCTTCCTCAGCCCCATCTTCCCAGTGCCAAAACGGAGGCTCCGGGAGGTGTGGGGCCCGGCCCAGGACTGTGGTGAGCCAGCCAGACACCTGCCCTCCACGCCCGCCTCCTGGAAGATGCTAAAATCATGACTCGCTTGAAGGGATGTTGCTGAAGCACAGGTGTCTGACTCTCCCACTGAGGCTGCTGCTTTTAAGTCTGCTTTTCTTGCTGTTGGGGACAAAGGAAGAGGCAGGTACTGAGTTTGCAGTGGCCCTGCTGAGGGTCAGAGGACTGCCTAGAGGAGGACAATGTGCTTTCTGGTCCCGCTGACCTGTCCCCACTAACCTCTCCCCTTGGCCACTCATGCCCCCTGCTTCTGACCAGTCACCGATCCCTGGCCCTGGCTGCCCGCCGGCCTGAATTATGAGGCTCCCCACGTGCCTCTTCCTCCCTTCCGGCCCCCCCAGGCCACCCCCACCCCTGCAGACCCGCCAGCACTGCTCAGGGGCTCTCCCACGCTGCCTGCGGAGCTCCCAGCTGGCACCTCCTTCCTCAGCAGTTGGGGCGGACCGCATACATTAGCCTGTTTCCTCCAGGAGGGAGGCCAGGCAGTCCCAGTGCCCAGCCTTCAGCTCCAGGGGTCCCAGCTGTGCGGGGTTGGGGGCAGCTGCAGGGGCTCCTCTGGCCCTCAGCCACCACTCCTCTCTGTGCTGGAGCCTCAGAGCTGGAGTGGCCTCTCCTATGGATGGGGAAACTGAGGACCAAGAGAGGTGGGGAGTCCTCAGGTGAACCAAAGGACTTCCTCTGCATCTGTGCTGGCCTCAGGCTGAGCCCGTGGGCCGGGTGATAAGCTGATCAGGCAGCCGGGGTTCCTTCCTCCAGCCCCAACCCTGGGTCCCACATGCCCTCTGTCGCCCTGAACAGGCATCACTCCACCCACCCAGACTAGCACCCCTCTCTTAAGTGCTCCAAACTGACCCTACAGAGGACCTGACAGCCCCAGTGCTGACCCCAGGCCACCTAGGGGGAAGTTGGGAGAGCAGTGTGGCCTGGGGCAGGCCTGAAGGCTGTGGAGTGGCCAGGGTGCAGCCTTTCTGGAAGTGGGGAGCTGTGGGCAGGGCAGGGGTGCTCTCCCCAAGCCCCTCCCTGGCTCGCCAGTCCTGTCGTCTCTCTGCACCCGTGGATCCGCCTGATGCTGCATCTCTGCCCCCAGCCCAGGCACCCCCCTCTCATGCCGCCCCCATCCCAGCTGGGACCCTTGGGAAGGCTTAGCCTCCCTGACCCCACTGCCCTAGCCCTGCCTGCCTTGCCCACTCAGCCCCACTCCCGCGGGGCACGCGGGCCACAGATAACCGGTGGTCTCATCTGTGGGCATCTGGAGCCACACTCCTCCGATCTCTTCCTGGAGGCCAGATTAGCGTCTCTGCCCACTCAGCATTCAGCGCTCAGTTCTCCTGGCCCAGCACCCTCCAGGCCAGAGGCCTGTGATTGTTTTTCCTTTCTTATACAATGTTTTGTGTTTTCCTGGGATTCCAAATAGCGCCTTTCTCTTGCTCTACTTACCACGACCGCACACTTGCTCCCCCTTCCCAGAGGCGCCACTGTATAGGATGTCCTGCCAGGGTCCGCTTTTGTGTTTGGCTTGTGTTGCTTTGTTTCCTGGAGATCCCCCACCCCACCTTCCTGGAATAATTATCTTTAAGAACAAAATCTCTGACCAGGATGCTGCTAGGTCCTGCTCTCTAAATGTCTCCCACGGCCTCTGAGTAAAGCCCAAATTCCAAGCCAGCTTCCAGGGCCCAGCAGTGGAAGGTGACGCCCATTCCCCAGATCCAGTCCTGCAGATGTCCTACCCACCTTGTCCCCTCCTTGTACACCCACCCCCTGCCTCTGCCTCTGCCTCCTCTCTCCAGCCCTCTGGTCCCTCCTCATCCTGCCAGGCACTGTCCTTCCAGAATCCCTTAGAGGCAAGCCTCCTGCATAATTCTCTCCCCGATGCCTGCCCGCCCGCCGCCTGGCTCTCATCAGCTGTTTCCTGTCCCCACCTCTGGCCACCCAGCACGGCTGCAGGATGGCTCCTCCCTCTGACCCGCATAGGCCCCACCTCAGTGACCTCCAAGCACGACCTCCTTAGCTCAGGGCCAGAAAGGGCCAAGGCTGCCTGATGTCCGTCCTTGAGCCCTTCCCATGTCCACAGCTGGGCCCCAAGCTCGACTGCGACCGAGGAGGCTCCTTGGAGGCAGCCGGGGCTCAGGCAGGAAGGGCAGAGCAAGGTGCCGGTCACTGTCCTGTCTCTGACCTGTAGGCCCGGCCGGAGCTTGCCAAGCCGGGGCTCAGGGCGCCTGAGGAAGGAAAGTTTTTCTTTAGAGGTTGTTCCCCAAAGATGGC